TGAGGGATACTTCATATTCAAATATTAATGAATCCATATTAGCATTTTAGAGCTAATGAAGAAAAGTACCACTTATTAGATGGAAACCTGTGGCAAATACCACATTTTCGAACTTTAAATTCTAGCATCTGCTATCATCAGTTCTGCTGTGAGAAAACATCACACTGCAGGTGCACTGTTCACATTTCAGTGGTACCACTGAGGTCAAATCTGTTTGGTTCCAAACATAAAGCCCATAAAACCCACTTTCCTCATGAAACATGGTCAAGGAAGGAAGGGAGAGTGCAACCTCCATCCAGCTTCCCCCTAGGGGAGCAGCTGCTAGCCTTAGTCAATCTTTCATCTCATTCCACAGGCAATGAGTGCACTTTGTCTTCTGAACTCAGTTCAGGCCAGGTGGGTAAGCAGTGCATAATATTTGGCTTCATAGACCACTTACTCCAGAATACTCCCTAGAGGCCTTAAATCAATGAAAATAAGTGATCATAGCATATGTCATTCTTAGCTCTTACATTCAGGTCAGTATGTTACATCAATATCATTTAAAAACAATGTTTTAGCTACCTTTTTATATACAATAGGCAGTGGTAAAATTGGGAAATTAACATTATATAGTAGAAATGGCTTATGAAAATTAAGTGCCTATTTAATATGTCTTACTTACTTCATTTTTATCCAACCCTATAAAACTTTAGATTAATATAGACTCATTACAAAGCAGCCTGTCTATGCTACACATTGACAGGTTTATAACTTTAAGTCTATTAGTCATCAAACAAAAACAACAAAGATTCTTTCCCATCAAAATGATGACAGTGAATTTGGAGGTAACTTGACTGGGATGGATCCTCCAGCACCATGGTCCATGAACGTCAGTCAAGCCAACACATCTTTTCTATTTTGGCCCAGGAATGCAATCCCACTTTAAAATAAGTATGGTTTCAATAAAAGTGGTTGACATAAAAATACCATTTTTATGTATCTTTTTATAGGCTATACATTAATTATAGCCAACATTAAAAATTCACACATATGTGTATATAACCCTTAAATCAGAAACAGAAATGGATTTCTATTTAAGCCAAAGCTGAATGTCTTTAAAATATACATAGTGGAATTTTTTGTACACCAAAGACTACAACTACAATTGAAAGGACAAATCACATCATAAAGAGGAAAAAGCAAAACAAGTGGTTACTTTGGGGAATGGAGATGTTAAAATTTAGAGCAGCGCAGATAATAAGAGGTGTGTTGAAAACCTTTAAACTATTTGCAAGAATCATTTATGAAATTCAAACATGTTAATACATAATAAGCCCCTTTGGGAAACAAACACAAGCCTGTTTGGTGGGATGGGGTCAGGATTCAGCGAACAGACTAGACTTAGAAAATATCATGAGACTTTCTCTTCCTTGGCCTTGGTTTTACTGCACATTTACGGAGTGAGGACCTCCAGAAACAAGGCTAGGTCACTGCTAAAGTGTTCAGACATGAAGATTCATCATGATGTTTTCTCATCTCCATGAGGGTGTTCAAGTATAGTCTATCACTCAGCTTACCAAGTGCATACTACCTACCTCTTTGCAACTCAGTGTGCATCTGCGAAATGGGACAAGAGCACCAGCTCCTGAGAAGATGAGGAGACTGGGTATTTTAACATAGAATGAGATAGACAGCATCTGTAAAGCACAAATTATACACAAGCATTCATTAGCTATGTAAGTGAAAACTATGAAGAGACTGAGATTTAAATTCAGTAAAAGTGAATATGATTTACATAATATTCTGGTTTTTATCCATTCATGTGTTATGTCTGCCTGGAAAATGCTTTGGATTAGCATAACTTTACGTGAAACTAAATTTATACTATCAGGCCAACTTTGTACATGTTGTTAGATGAGTACATATGTCATAAACTAACTTATAAAATAAAATATTCATGAAACTGCATTTTGCACTTCCAGGTAGAGTCACTTTTAAAATGTCAGTCTGTTAAAACACTTTAAGTGAGGTCAATAAAAAGTACCATTAAAATACCCCAAATACCGCCAATATCATTAATGTATATAAAATATTTAAACACACTCCTCAATATTGCCTCAGCTATACAGCATACTTTCACTTAGTATTTATATAAAATTGGACAAGGATTTACAGTGAAGTGTATCTACAAAATAAACATGTCTGATGATATTGACTGTGATGAAGTGTTTTTACTTTGTCAATTCTAAAAGTAAATGCAGTGAACATTAAATTGTATATCCAGAAGTATGCACTAACAATAAGTAGATCTCTACACCTCACATGATTTTATTTAATCACATCTATACTGGCTTTTTGACAACATATGTCAAACAATTTTTAATCATAAATGAGAAGAGCCTGCTGTAAAGGTGCTGTCTGGAATTCTAGTACTCCAGAAGTTGGAAGGAGGATCAGAAGTTCAAGGTCAATCTTGGCTACCTATGGAATTTGAGGCCAGACTGGACTACAAGCGACCTGATCTCAAATATATATCTATAAAATGGTATGTATATATATATATATATATATATATGTGTGTGTGTGTGTGTGTGTGTGTGTGGTGTGTGTGTGCGTGTGTGCGTGTGTGTACCCAATATTCTTTTTCAAGATGGAGAACTTCACATACCTTGGAAGATTAAGTAATTTAGAGTAACCATCCTGCAACCAGAAAATCTGTAGAATCGACACTTCTTGAAGTAACTGAAAAATTCAAAGCATAGGGAAAAAGTTATGAGACCAAGAGACCAGAATGGAAAGTCTGATGTTCTCTGCATTTTTGCCCTAAGTATGCTTCATTCTTACAGTTACTCACAATATTTTGATACCGCATGAGATAAAAGTTTCAAAGTGTGGTCAAGGTGAATCTTCAATGATCTCCTCACATTTCAATCTGTGCTCCCACTGAAGCTCAAACAACCCTCCCCTGAACTGCAGCTTACCTCTTAATCACTGGGTTACCAATGGAAATATAATTATAGAATGTGGGGTTACAGTGGCCCCAAGGTTGTTGGGGTCTTGGACTCTTTTCTTTGGGAGCCAGCATTTTCTCTTATCTGAACTTGAAGTCATACATATTTGAAGCATAACCTCTCACTTGTCATCAAAGCTGAAAGGCTGCACAGGGTTGAGTCAGTTTGCACAAAGGGGCAGACACAAAGAGCAATGGTAAGAGAGGCATGGGATCTCCTTAGGACAATCAGACATGGAATACAAAACAGACATATTGCACTCAAAGACTAGAGGACAGTACTGGAAGTTTCAGCAGCAGATTAGAAACATAAATCACCTAGCAAAATCTAAAATAATCAGGAAGAATTTTGAAAAATGACTGAAATTAACTATTCCCCTGAGAGGGTTTGGCAGCGTATTATTGAGAGCTTAAGAGAATGGTGAATCTGAAGACAAGCCAAAGGCAGAGCCGCCCAGGCAAGGTATGAGTGTCATGCCTATGGTGAATACAGGAAGCAGAAAAGTGGGGCAGGGGCAGACTAATGCCTGACAGACAATAATCTACTGAAGAACTCCCAAGTAGCAGCCTTGCAATGAACCAGAAAAAAATAACTTGAAAATGATAAAGAGGGGTGCAATCAAATTATGAAGAGACTAAGAGAGGGTGTGATCAAAATTCATTATATACACATGTGAAACTGTCAAAGAATAAAATATGTTTAAGTATTTGCATCCTGGAGAGGAAAGGAACATTAGCACGTTTAAAATTTTAGATGGGAAGAAAGTTTACTTAATTATTAAGAGCATTCATACCATTAAAGAGAAACACTGGTCACTAGAAAGATTTTTTTAAAAAGATGTCCTGAAGGCAAGACTTCCCCCTAAATACACACACACACACACACACACACACACACACACACACACACGATTACCACTTATGAAAATTCAAATTCATTTGGGCAAGGGATGAGGGCGTGTGTCCACTTCTCCTTTCAGCTCTACGGCCCCATCAGGTGCAGACCTGTGCAAGCCCTGTGCATGCTGTTACAGTCTCTGTGAGTTCACACAATCTATCCTGTTGTGTTGAGAAAACTTGATTCCTTGGTGCCCACCCTCCCTCTGGCTCTTAAACTTCGTAGTTTCTATTTTTTTTTTAAAAAAAATGGCATATCAGAAAGAATGCAGTGAAATATTTATTTTTTCTGTGAGTCACTCTAATTGGGGAATTATCCAGATGATTAGAAATATCTAAGCCTATCAGTTCTGAATATTTGATACAAAGAACATTAAAAATCCTAGAGCAGGCCCAGAAAGAAGGCAACTATAGTGACACATACCACTGAAAATCTACAAGCAACAAAAATATCTCACAAACAGAATGCTTAACCATTTCATCATATTTTTGCTGAATAAGTAAAATACTACAGCCATTAATTCTATATGGATTCAGTAAATAAAATAGCATGGAAAAACACAAAATATTAAGAGAAATGTCCCATGAGCTTGAATATAAAAAATTTACAAAAAAGCTAAGACATTACTGACGGCTGAGTTCTAAAATGCTTTGTTAATTAAATTCCTCTTCTGGTGTTCTTTTTACAACACCCGTGTAGTTAGTGCTTTATCAGTGAGGATCATTTATCTGTAACCAAAAAACTAACTTGCTAATATACAATGAATCTCCTATGTCGTGGAACTGTGACGTGCAGGGCAGGCTGGGGCCCTCAATTAACAAAGGCAATGACTAGGTGATGTCTTTGGAGCCCCAGTTTTTGTTTTTGTTTTTGGTAGCTCTACTCTGTTGTCAGTATAAGGTTCCTTCTACTCCTATAGCTGGTTCACCTCATAGTATCTAAGAAAGTCTGCATTTCGCTTCTAGAAAGATCATGCACTGTGTAGGCAAAGGTGCTGCCCTGCCAGGAAGAGGATGAAAGAAACTGGAGAGATAATAACCACATCTTCTCTCATGCTTACTCCTGCAGTTTTTCAAAGTAAGTTTATTGCTTCCAACATTAGGAAAGTAATTCATACCAGTGAAGAAATTTGGAGAAACAGAAGGCATAAAAGGCTCATGCATAATCTTATCACATGAGACAATCATGAGATAAACATTTTAGTGCATTTGTTTTAAAGCTCAAAATACAAACAATAATAATAATAATAATGCAAGCCAATACATTTAAATATATAATTAATCTAAATTAATTCATTCAACTTGAAAATGTGACAGTCAATTTACTGGCTTGGTGACAGCCTATCAAGTGGAAGGAAAATAGTTTATTATTCTTTCTGGTAGGGCTTTTGTGCTAATTTTATTACTTTATATGCTGTAACCCTTTGTACCACCAGACATACTATTTCACCTATCTCTGATTTACTTGTTAGAATCTTCAGAAACTGAGATTACAAAACCAAACCCAGGGATCTTTATTTCTACATTGCCAAATAAATATATATTACATATTTGATACAAATATAATGAATACAAAACAGGAATAATTATTTCCCCTTAAAAGATGTTAAAACATCTTTAGGTGTTGTTAAGATCATCTGATCATATAATTGAAAAGGTATTATACAGGAAGCAATTATCTTAATGGAAACAGAACTACTTGAAACTGCTTTATGACCATGCCCTTTAGAAACAGCTTGCAGTTTTTAGTGCATATTGCCATCATTTTAAATTGTCAGCACTGCACAGCTTATCTGACATTATAACAGAAATAACTTGTCTCATGGCTTCTGACATATTTTTATTCAGTGGCCTTTAATTTGTATAAAAAACCTAACTGTATCCTAAGAAGTGAGCTATGAAACAAGGGATATGCTAGTGTAGCTGAATGTTGACTACAAACACACAAGGATTAAAACAACTGTGATGTTATATAGTAAAAATGGATAATTTCACTATGTGAAACAGGAAAAAGCGGTCATGAATGTCTCCCTTTCTCCTCCAAGTGTGTCCTCTGCTTCTTTCAAAAGATAGCTGTCTTGATCTAACCTTTTTAATTCTGCTTTGTTCCAACCTAACATTAGCACGGCTTTGTTGTAAAGTCTGCCTGGATAACTAGGAACTTAACTGACTAGCCTTTCATTGTCTACTCCTACCCCAGATTATCTGTGCCCCAGGATGGCACTGCTCTCTGGACTTTACCATCATCACTGCAGTTCTAGCTCTGTTTTCCAGACTGACAACTTCAAGAACATCTTCAATCCATCCCAATAAATACTTAAGAGACTGGGATGACTTCAGAAAGTTTTAGCAGGGGAAACCTGGGTTTTAGAAGTAACATAATGTATGAGCTAATTAATTACTTAGAGAAAAACAATTATTTCACCCAAACAATGTTATGCTCGTATGTTACCTGCCGTAAAAAAGCAAGCTTCTGAAAATCTCTACAAGCTATAAAGAAGCAAACATTTTATGATGATGAAAACCCAGAGACAGAACATAACTACCATCAGGACTAACCACAAACAACCATACGTCATTCACCTTCCAGGATTTCCGTGAGAATTCTGAGGCTGTGCTTGTCCACGGGAGGATAAGACAGGGTATTTTCTAGCTAGCTTGGTCTCTACAAGCCAACAGTGTAGCTTCTTATAAGTCAACCTATCACTCAAGGATACTGAGATCCAACCGTTTACTCTTTCCATCCTTGAGTCACTCATATTTTAGGACAGGGAAATGTCAAGAGCAAAGCAGGCAATGCCTCAGAGAGAAGACACAGGAAACATGAACCAGGTGATCACAAAGGACTTCAGAAAAGGACTCCAAAGTTAGGTGTGAAATTTCCTCTATTTAAGTCATTACAAATTGGCAACTCTTCATATTCAAAATGTGTATCCCAATGTAAAATAAGATATTAGTGATAGCAGCTGTGACTTCTGGCACATAGTACTCATTTTAATGGTGCAGCAAATGAAGCTTGTGATGATTGTTAATTCTTTGTCCTGGAAGTACTGTAAGGAAGACAAACTGCTTTAGTCTACTGAGAAGATTCAATGGTTACTCCATTCTAAAATGTGAAGGAGGTAGTGTAAGACGCTTTTTGAGGCAGGATGTCATACAGTCCAGGCTCCTGACTTTCTGTCTCTGCCTCCCAAGTACTAAGATTCCAGGCCTGTACTACCATGTCTAGCTAGAGAGTAATTGTTAGCTTAAGACAACACATTGACCTACACATAGTAAAACCTGCAGTTTCCCATGATCAGGTCTTATGTAACAAAGTACAATGATGAGACCCAGGACATATTTTTGAAACTGGATCTAAGCTGTCACAGGCTGAACTCAAATAGTTAAAATTCTTTAAGATTAAATTAAAGCTCTTATAACAGGATATGATGGCATGAATCTAGGTGATACATAGCCAAGATAAAATGGGACACTTTTTAAATTCCTGGAAAAAATCATTAACATCACTCAATACAGAACATTCGAAACAGTTTTTAAAACGCAGTGACACAGGAGCTATCTGGTGTCAAATGCAGCTCTAGTGTTAACCAAAAAAGATGATACATATAGTACTGGATTGAAAGAGGACACCATAGCTTTGTAAATTCTGATTATTTAATTTTGGCAAATAGTGATTTATTATAATTTAGCACTTCGAAAATATACTTTTGTATTTAATAAACCACTGGGTCACACGAGGCAGTGGCCTATATGCAAGCCTTCGCTCCATACACCAGGCTGCTGTTGCATTGGAGGCAATGAGTTCCATCCCGGGGATTGTAGGATCCAGGGCTGCAAATCACTGTGAATAAAACATAAAGTAATGAGTAACAATCCTTATGGTGCCACATAAGTTAACTTAACGCCATGATAAGTTGTCACGCAACTTCTCTTAATTTTGGTTTTTGTTTGTGTTTTGGTTTGGTCTGGTTTGGTTTTTCAAGACAGGGTATAACAGCCCTGGCTGTCCTGGAACTCGCATTGTAGACCAGGCTGCTAAAACTCACAGAGATCTGCCTGCCTCTGCCTTACAAGTGCTGGGATAAAAGGTATGTGCCACTGTAGCCAGGCTGTCATTATTTTAAGACAATCATATCATCAAGGTTGTCCTTGAACTCCCGATTTTCCCAGAATATTGGGATTATAGGCATACACCATCATGTCTGACTAATGTTCTTTATTTTTAATTGAGGTAAAATATGTAGGATGGAATTTACTACCATACCCATTTTACGTACCCTTTAGTAGTGTTAAGTATACTTGTATGTACACCAATCTCCAGAACATTTTCATATTAGAAAACTGCACGACTATGCCAACTGAGCAACTCTCTAGCATTTTCCCCAGCTCCTAGAAATCATCATAGTTCCTGCTACTCTGAATATGACTACTCAACATTCCTCATATATGTAAAATGTGTAGCATTGTGAATCTTAGATCAACACTATCACCTAAAATATTTTAGTGATCATCAACTGTTGAGTTTAAAGCCTGACTATATGATCATAAAAAGCACCATACATAAAAGTAACTGCTTATAGGACAGTCCATAATAACTCGTGTGCAAAGGGCCAAGAGCTGCAAGAGGACTGTGGCTTATTTCTAATCTTCTCATTTCAAGTTCTATTTGTATCACTTGATAAATGTGTGTTTGAGGGGAAATTCTTAACTTAGCTCAATTTGTTCATCCCTCATCTGAAGACAATGTTATCACAAATACTGTCGCAGTTGTCCCTACACAACAGAGAGTAAAAAGTGCAGAAAGAAACCAAGTTCAAATATCAATGTTGACGCAAATAAGTCTCTAGCCTCCTCTTTCCTTGCTAGCAAAAGAAAAACAGACACAGTCAACCTCATAATAGTAATATGAAAATGAAAACCAAAAGTGTGATATGAAAAAGCAGGCACTCAACAAATACAAAATACAACTGCCTGTATTGACTGTATCCATTTCAAGTTGGGGAAAGTGTGTCACATGATTCCCCCAAATGCACTGAGTTGACTGAGGTCTCTGATTAACCAATTCTTCGTTTCCCTGTTACAAGCACTGGTGAATGATTGTAGATTACGTTAAAGCATGGTATTATGGGCCATCTAACTTTTCAGTACCATGATGCAGTGCTATGTGTTAGTACTTAAATCTGTCTCATACTCCACTATTTTATTTTGTGTAATTCATGTTTGAGATGTGTTTTCCAAATATACAGAAATATTTTAACTGCCTATTCAGAAAAAGCATTTGCCATACTATATTCTAGAGTTCGTCAAGTTACACCAGATGATTTATTGGTGGAATGATATTTCTAAAGTCAAAAATGTTGGTTATACAAAGTTACAACTTTTTTTCACTTAGTAATAGTAAGGATCCTTAGACACTTAAAGTATATATCAAACTTCCAATGATGAAGTACATTTCACACAAACATAAAAGAATATACCTTCTTCTCAGTTCCTCATGGAACCTTCTCAAAAACTGACCACATACTCAGTAACAAAGAAAATTTCAACAGATACAAAATTTAGAATAACCCCCTGTATCTTATCAGATCACCCTAGCTTAAAGTTAGAATTCAACAACAACACAAATTGTAGAAAGCCTACAAACACAAGGAAATTGAAAAATGCTCAACAGAACCATCACTGGGTCAAGGAAGAAATTAGACTTCTTAGAATTCAATGAAAATGAAAGCACAACTACCCAAACCTATGGGACACTATGAAAGCAGTGCTAAGAGGAATGTTCACAGCACTACAGAAAGAATGTGGAGAAATCTCACACTAGCAACTTAACAGCACAAAAAGAAGCAAACTCACCTAGGAGGAGCAGACAGAAAATAAGCAAACTGAGGGTTGAAATAAACAAAGAGAACAATACAATGAAACAACAAGATGACTGTTCTAGAAAATCAACAAGACAGACAAACCCTTATTTAAACTAACCAAAAGTCAGAGAGAATACAAATTAACACAATAAGAAATGAAAAGGGAACCTGGAAACAAGCTAGATGCTCCTCAACTGCAGAATGGATAAAGAAAATGTGGGACATTTACACTTTAGAGTACTACTCAGTGGTTAAAAAACAATAACATCTTGAATTCTGCATGCAAATGGATGGAATTAGAAAACATATTTTGAGTGAGGTAACCCAGACCCAAAAAGATGAATATGGTATGAATTCATTCATAAGTGGATACTAGCTATAAACAAAGGGCATTGAGCCTATAGTTCATGGCTGTAGAGAAGCTAAGTAATAAGGTGAACCCAAAGAAAAACATACATAGACCCACCTAGAAATTGGAAACAGACAATATTGGGAGTAGGGAGGTGAGGAGAGAAGGGAGAATGGAAAGAGAAGAGGAGGGAAGAAGGAAAAAAGGAGGGGAAAGGGGGAGTGTTGAGGAGAACTTGAGGGAATGGGATAGTCTAGATGGAGGAAGGACAGAGATGAGAGCAAGGAAAGAGTTATCTTGATTGAGGGAGCCATGATAGGGTAACAGAAAGCAGGCTCTAGAGAAATTCCCAGAAATCCAGAAGGATGATCCTGCCTAAGACCCTAAGCAATAGAGGAGAGGGGGCCTGATCTTGACTTGCCCTGTAATCAGACTGATGATTATCTTAAATAACACCATAGAACCTTCAACTAGCAACTGATGGAAACAGAGGCAGATACCCGCATTGGAGCACTGGACTGAGCTCCCAAAGTCCAGTTGAAGAGTGTAAGAAATGAGAATATGAGCAAAGAAGTCAAGACCATGATGGGTTCACCCACTGAAACAGTTTACCTGAGCTAATAGGCTCACCAACTCCAGCCCAACTAGAAAGAAACAAGCATAGGACCAAACTAGTCCCTCTGAATGTGGCTGACAGTTGTATGGCTGGGGCAGACTGAGGGGCCACTGGCAGTGGCACCAGGATTTATCCCTATTGCATGTACTGGCTTTTTGAGAACCTATTCTCTTTGGATATATTCCTTGCTCAGCCTAGATATAGTAGGGAGGGCCTTGAACCTTCTACAGTGCAATGTGCCTTACCCTCTCTAAGGATTAGATGGGGGTGGGGTGGGGGGTATGTGGAAGGAATGGGAAGAGAGGAAGGAGTAGGAATTTGGATTGGTATTTTTTTAAATCTAATATATTTTTTCAAAAATTAAAAAAAAAAAGAAAAGACAGAAATAATAGCAGACACTGAGGAAATTCAGAGAATCATTAGGTCATACTTCAAAAACCTGTACTCCTTAAAATTGGAAAATATAAAATAAATGGACAAGTTTCTGGATAGCACCACATACCAAATCAAGACAAGATAAACAATTTAAATAGACCTATAGCCCCCAAGGAAATAGAAGCAGTCATCAAAAGTCTCCCAATCCCCCCCCCCCAAAATCCCAAGGCCAGATGGCTTCAATGCAGAATTCTACCAAAATTTCAAAGAAGAGTTAATACCAATAATCTTCAAGTTGTTACACACAATAGAAACAGAAGGAAACACTGCCAAACCCTTTTTATGAGATTGCAGTTACCCTAATACTCAATCCACACAAAGACACTACTAAGAAAGAAAATTACAGACCAATCTTACTCATGAACATTGATGCAAAAATACTCAATAAAATACTGGCAAACTGAATATAAGAACACATCAAAATAATCATCTGCTATGATTAAATAGGCTTCATCCCAGAGATGCAGGGATGGTTCAACGTACAAAATTCTGACGATGTAATCCACCATATAAATAAACTGCAAGAACAAATCACATATTCATCTCATTAGATACTGAAAAATCCTTTGACAAAATACAACACCCTTCATGATAAAGGCCTTAGAGAGAGTATGGATAAAAGGAACATACCTAAACATAATAAAGGCAATATACAGCAAGCCAACATCAAACTAAATGAAGAGAAACTCAAATACAAGACAAGGCAGTCCACTATCTCCATATCTATTCAATATAGTATGAAGTTCTAGCTAGAGCAATAAGACAACAAAAGAAGGTCAAGGGTATACAAATTAGAAAAAGTCAAAATTTCACTGTGTCTTATATCTTTAAGAAGGACTCTAAGGGCAAGCACCATGGCTCAGTAATTGGATGACTTCTGACAGCCCAGAACCCTGCTATCCACCTGCAATCAGCTGTTTTCAGATACACCCGCTCCACCCTGTGCTCCCAATCCTCTAGTTTCATGCCTGGACTCTAGACTTTCTCCACCAGGCCTGGCTCCTTCCCACCTCCACTGACAACTCCTGGAGCCCTCCCTCTAGGAGATCTCCGGCCATGACACTCCCTCCCACCGATGCCACCTGGAACTAGAGGACACACCTCCCCAAAAGCAGGGACTCCAGGACATCCTGGACATGGACAGTCACATCTTCATTCATTCCCACCAGGGGGGATGCCCTCATTTCCCAGATGCAGCTGGCCAATCACATCTCTTATGGCCTAAGACATCCCCATGCTGGGTCTCTGAGGGACAGTTACCACCCCTGCTACCTCTTGCAATAATTCATCCTGAACCTCATCCCATGGACACAGTCCCTGGCCCTAAGAGCCACCTTTTGGATCTCTCAAGTGGTAGTTTCAATGTAACTGGCCCCCATAACCTCACAGGGAGCATCACTATTAAGAGATGTAGCCTTATTGAAGTAGATGTGGTCTTTCTGGAGGAGGTGTGCCACTCTGGGGGCGGGTTTCGAGGTCTTCTATGTTCAACCTCCTTTTGCCTGCAAGTTAAGATGTAACTCCTCTACTCTCACCTTCTTCTCAAGCAGCATGTCTGCCTACATGCCACCGCTTCTCAC